CTTTTTTTTTCTTTTTTTTTCTTTTTTTTCTTTTTCCTTTCCATCCCCCGCCCCTCTCCCCCCCCCCCGTTTTTGTATTTTTCTGTTTGTATTTTTTTTGTATTTTGCATTGGCTTTTATTCTTGCTATTTATAATTCTTAATAAAATTATTTGAAAAAAAACAAAGACACACACTGTACAGCTGAGAGTTCCATAGGACTAAAAAGTATTTCCTACAATATAATTTTGCAACAGCAGCCAGTCATTCCAGAGTGGAACAGGTTGTATTAATTCACAACTAAGAGTCCAGGCCTTCAAGCAATATGACAGTGAATTACTACTCCCCCATATTTTTATCCCTGTCATGAAGGAAATAACACTTGGCTGCTTATTTATGTATAAATAAGCAGCTCAACAGATATTTTCTAAAAAGCCATGGAAATGTATCAAGCATGCTTCGGGCCAGAAGGTTTATATCAGCAGCAGCTCAACATCCCTGCATGCCATATCAAAAAGAGGGGACTTTTCCAGAAAATGATTGTAGATTCAGCAGAGCATTTTCAGACTTCCTGCATGTTGAGTCTCATTTGACGTAAGATTGCCAAGGGTGTCAGTGGGGGTGGAGGCCAAAAACGTCAAGATGGTGGCTACCACCTTGATGTCTTTTACCCTCCCCGTGGATGTCACTGTGGGTAGGGCCATTTCGATCTGGAATCCCTGCATTACTGAGCTGAGCCAGCGTATCAGATGAAACATAAGTAGTCCATTCAAAGGACCCAAAGCAATATGTACGGTACTTTGGGTCAGGCTGAGGAAAGGTTCTAAGTGCTGAATTGAAGTCAAAGGGAAGAGAGGTAGGTGGACCAGCAGGTTGGGAAGAAGAGAAGAACAGAGAATATAGGCCATATAGTCGCACGTAGTGATGCAACCAGCTCTCGTGGTGTTGCTGCTATGCAAAGATCTTTTATTGTACTGAAGAGTTGACATACACAAATACCAAGACAAACAGGCCTTCCTCATGTAATTCATCCCATCCTTTTATGCAGTAGATGCTTTGCATGAATGGGGCCAGCTCAAACGTATGCACTGTGGCTCTGTTTAATTTCAGAAAAGTCATACGCTTCATTGCATGCCTGTGTCACAAAGGCACAAGTGAGCTTGCCTGTGTCTGGTTAAGAGGCAAAGACCTGAACTGTGTGCAATCACGTATATCATATCTGAATCTCCACAGACCACTCTTGTCTCTTTTCCTTCTCCTTTCAGCTCCTTCATTAAAACCAATCTCCTACTCTTTTCAGAAGCACATGGATTTATTTTTAACCAGGGGATTTTGGCTGAAAAGGGGCTCTCGGGGAAATCCATGAGAGAACAAGGAAGTGGCACATAAGCAAACACCCACATGGTAAAATTAATCTTGAAACCTTGACATTTCTCATCACTAAAGATGGGCACACATAACATGCAAAGATCGGAGGCATTCAAGCACAGCAGAAAGTTGCTGCTGAACTCTGCAAAATTTGTTGTGCGCTTCAGTTTCTGATCCAGCTTCCCTGGAGAATGAACTGTTGTTTTATATATCCAGGGGGACATATTTCTAGTGGGTGAGCAATAGCATGTAATTCATTATTCAGACAGTAAGCAGAGAGTTAATAAACCTTTCTACTTTTAAAATGTTCTTTTCATGGGCCAGTCTTGCACAGAATATTTATTTACCTGTTTCATTATTTATGGTTTCTGCCAACAAGTAGCACCCAAAGCAGTAAACAACAGCAAGGGCAACTTCAAATTAATTGAAAATACAATTCAAATATTCATAAAACCTAATTAAAAGAATGAAAATAGCAGCAGCATCCTCCAAAAAGTTGATTATAAAGTCAAGTCTCCAAGTTGAGCTTGATTTTTGGTGCCTTGGTGACATGTCCATGTAGTTTTCTTGGGTACAGTATAAAAATGGATCACCTTTGCCTTCTTCCAGGATGTAGTCTACAATCCTGAGAGCCAGTTTGGCCTAGCGGTTAAGGCCCCAGGCTAGAATCCAGGAGACTGGGAGTTCTAGTCCTGCCTTAGGTATAAAAGCCAGCTGGGTGACTTTGGGCCAGTCACTCACTCTCAGCCCCCCACCTCACAGGGTTGCTGTTGTTGTGGGGAAAATAGGAGGAGGAAAAAGTATTAGGTATGTTCACCACCTTGCATTATATATATATAATAATTTATATTATATAAATATAATTTTATATTATATAAATATAATTTATATTATATATAAAGGCAGGATAAAAAATAAAATAAAATAAAATAATAATAATAATAATAATAATAATAATTATTATTATTATTATTATTATAAAGGACAGTCCTTTATTTGAGAAAGCAGTCCTTTAGATTTATTTAATTATTTATTTTCTTGGTTTTGCTCTTGGCTTTTTCTTTGTAAAGCAAAGTTATAAACACAAACTTTTTCTTTATCCTTATGAACCTCTTTGAGATTTGCCCCTTTTCCAGGTTTGTCCTTTATTTTTTCCAAGAAAATATGGTCACTGTACTCTTATCCCAATGCTAGGAAGGCCTGATCCCACTTAACTGCTCAGACCAGATAAAATGGGCCTGGTGTTGCTAATTCCTGAGATTAACACAGACTACCAGCTATAAACTATAAGCATGAAAATTATAAATTATAAGCCTGAGCAAGCAAAGACCAGGCAACAGCCACAGCTGCTTCTCACTAGCGGTTCAATGACTGAGCTAATAGAAAATGCAAATATGCCTGCTTGAAAGATATCAATATTTGTTATTTTGGAGGCTCTACACTTCTAGTCAACCCAGCTGTGAGCTCAGTTTGGTCAATGCTTTGGTCAATAATTTGTTCAGATATGTGAACTATGTTTGTTGCCTCCAGTCAAGCATTTTCCTAAAATGCAGAAAATAAATGAAACCATGCAGAATACTAAGAGTAAGTGGTCCTAAATGGTTAGGCATAGGTCACTTGGAACCTCCAAAATGCAACATCTTGATGAAAAAAGGCATGGCCTGCCAAACCTACGCCAGCCCAGCAGTGAACGAATGTAAGTAGAAAGGCCTGGAAAGGCTAACTAAGCCACTGTCCTTCCAGATTTAGTTTTCCACTCTACAATAGGAGGTTCCAAGTGACTTTTACCTAGGACCAGTGTTTTTCCAGTTCCTCACTGGCTGGGGAATTCTGGGAGTTGAAGTCCACATGACTTCAAGCTGCCAAGGTTGAGAAACACTGCCTAAGACAGTTCTCATAAGGATCCTTTTTATTATCCAGGCTGAGCAATTGTGTTGGGTGTTGTTTGTTAGTTTGCTTGTTTTTTAATGGACCTTGCGAAGAGCCTCTGCCCAGAACAGCACCATATATTCACAGCATGATGTGAAACAGACTCTAATCCAGAGTTGCTCCTCTGGCAGAACGCTTTCTGATAGACCCATGAAAAAAAGGTCAAAAGGGGAGGCCAACTTTTCTGGGTAATTAATTGATTCACAGATTCTAGTTTAAAAAGTGGAACAGCACACATTTCCCAAAACTTGGTTTATGTTGTGTATATCGGTCTCTTCCTACACATATATACATATAATACAGTATATGAAAACTCAACTCACCTTTAACCCTCCTATGATCTCTCAACATAGCTATCCCATCCATGCCTTCCTTATTCTCCTGATGCTGCAAATCACTTGGACAACCTGACCCAGAAGCAGCTTGGTTAGAAGTCCACTTCTTGGTGGCATCTCCATAAAGATTCTGAAATGACATCAGACAAGAGGGCTGATTCATGCAGAACTATGAGTCAAAACCTCATGTTCTTGGCAATGAAATGAAGGAGAACGCTAGTCAAAAATTAGCATATTGATGGAGAAATCACATTTTGTCAGAGGAAATTATAAGCCACATTTTAAAAAATGCCTTTGAAGCACATATAGGTGCATAACTAGAACATGACAGAAACGTCTTAAAAGGTTGGATACCCTATGCATACACAGATGGGCATTTATGTATGGTATAGCATCTTTTTTCAGATACTGAGAAAAAGTAAAGTAACTCTCTCACCTATTAATGCCTGTACACAATCTCAGACAATATCATGGCTATAGTATAGAACGCTCAGTATTGAGAAAACATGATACCACTAATCAACTGGGTTTTTATTAGTGTCACCAGTAATAAATAGATTACAGTAATAAATAGATTACAGGAATCTATTTCTGTAATCAGCATCAGGACCTTTTGATATAAATGCTTGTGGCCATATCCACACCTTAGCATGATACAATCATGATCTGAACCAATGTTTGCATTGTTCCCATAAAGTTGGATTTATACCCAACCCATAAATGAGACAGGCTTAAATTGTCTTTAGTTGTATCAACACAGTTAGTATTTCTCCTCTTTAACTGCCACTATTCCGCCACAACTTATAAGTGTCTAAAATCTTTAATGCTTTGCAACCCAGAATCTTGGAGGTGAAGGCAGGTAAACAATAAGTGATGCAATCAGAGTCTGTTATAGGCAGTGTGGATACACACACATCCTCTAGTCACTAGCCAGTCACCACCTCAGTCATTCTTGAGGAAATTTCCCATTGGTCACGTCGTTGCCTGTTTTATGTATTTGACACCAACTCTTCTCTTAGCTTCCAATAAGGAGCACAGAAGGGCAGATTAACTCTATTTTATTTGGGGAAGAAGAGTAGGCCTCTTTGTAATCATGTGCTGGTTTCTCTATATTTGTAAAGTTCAATCACATCCCCACCTCCTGATAAAGTAAGAGATATATTACCGATGAAGTACGAGATATAATAGAAGAGTATATTCTGTTGATGTAAGAGAGGTGATTGTTCAGCAGCTAGTCAATTTCAGTTTTCCACCCTACAGGACGTAACTGACTGCAATCATCACAGGGACTCTGTTCCTCTTCCTTGTAATAATTTCTACCTTAATGTCTTTCCATGTTTCTTTATTTCATATTATATTAACTTGGGAAATTGTCAAATGAAAGTAAGGACAGACAAACCAATCTAGAGCAGAAAGGCAAAGACTAGAAGTGAGACCTATCCAACTTTTGTTCTAGTACTGTGGCTGATAGATATGTTTTTCCACTGCTAGGTCATGTGCTAAATGAGGAAAGTAGCAAAGTCAGAGTGACACACTCAAAGATATGGACAATAGGATTTGGAAGGTACTTGGAACAGAAGCAATAATAGCAGGACAGAAATTGGCAGTGGGGCAGCACACGTTATGCCAGCAATGTTTTGTTCTAACTCAAGAATAGAGTTATGAATACTCTATACTCATGAATAATACTCTAAGTCAGTAGTGGGGAAAGTCCTTATGACCTGCCAGCTCTGATCTAATAAAGTTCTACTAGATAGTATTTTTGATATTAAAGTTGTATTTCTGGCTTCATCCCAATCCATGTTCATTCTGCCCTGTTGGATCCAACCAAGGATCAATACTTTTTGTAAACAGTATGACAACCCTCCCAAGAAAATATGAGTCCAAATGTCATATAATGAGTCAGGGGACATAGCCAGATAGTAGGAATTGGATTCTTGAAAGTCTCAGTGTACCACAACTACAGGTTTGGTCAATGTTCATATTTGTTCATACTAAAAGTATATTAACATTTCTGTTTAGATAATACAATTTTAAGTTAAGAAAGCCAAGATTTTTAAAACTATAATCTACAATGTATAATCTTGGTGGTTTCTGAGCTCGGTTGTTTTCATGCAGATGTTTCATCATCAAACTAGATAACATCATCCATGCAAGGTAGAGCAGAGTTTGCTGGTTGTTTTTATATAGTAGCTTTCCCTGCTAGTCTTGGTTGGCATGTAGTTTCTTCCTTGATGGTTCCTCAATTAGGGTATCTTTTCTTCTCTGATTGTTTGTCTGGTGCTGTGACCTGCTTATCTGGGAACAAGGGAGGATTTGCTCTGACTTGGTTGGTTCCATCCTTGACTAGTGGTGGTATCTTTTAAATGATATGGAGATGGGGTTTATCTCTATGGCTGATTTGTCAGAATTCCAAGCTTCCAGGAATTCCCTAGCATTTTTGGATTTGGCCTGGTCTAAAATGTCAGTAGTTTCCCAACTATTGACATTGCTGAAATTATGGCTGAATTTCTCTATGTGTTAAGAGATTAAGGAACTTTCGTCATGTCTTCTGACTGCCATTGTTGGTTGAGGATGTGTTCTGCCAATCTTCTACCTGTCTGTCCTATATAGTAGATGTTACAGTCCCTAGACTGTATGTTGCAATCTGGTCTTCTGCTTGAGGGAACACCAAGAGCCTATCTTGCTATCTAAACACTTGCAAAATTATGGTGCACCTACAAACTTTTCACAAATAAGTTATGCCTCTTGATCCTCATTTGGGAATTAGTGCTTTATATCCCTGCAGCAAGAATTTACAACCTACTCCAGATTTTTTTCTTTTCAAAACATTTTTCCTCACTATAATCAAAATGGTGCAAGCCACTTTCCTTATTTTCAATTGTCCTCAAACAACTTGCAAATAAAGCTTTATTTTAATAACAGTACCAACTGGGAAATTTTTCAGCTTTGAAAAATTTGTACATATGCTGTTGGTAATATTATCAATCAAATCACTCTTTTATAGTTTTGTTCACAAAACGTCTCCCACAGACACGCTGCAAATAAAATAACATCTAAAGTACTTCAATATTTTATAGTAAGTCATGTTTCAAAAAATAGAGGACATCTGATTTCAACTTAAATTGAAAGCAGATGTCCTCCTAGCACATCAATTAGCCTGACAATATGTATTATAATATGTTATATATTTGAAATGCTAAAAAAAAGAAGAAGAAGAAGCCAGATCCCAGCATATTACGGATGCTTAATGTCAGTGAATTAACACAGCTAAAGACATCCAACTTGTGACTCAAAACCCCACCTCAGAACTGTCAGTAATGTTTTATTTATTTATTTAC